TCTTCATTTTGCAATAGGGGTCAAGACGCCTATTGGATGGCGTGTAAACCACCTCGAATTACGTTTAGGCCTCTGAAGACGACGATTAGTCGAAACGTTAGGCCGTTTGACTGAGTAAATTGTTCCGCCTAAAAACCTCGTGTGGCACAAGATAATAATTATCACAAACAACAACTATGCCGAGGTTAAAGCAATAGAGAAGTTTAGACTTTTTACACTTTTTCTTGGATTGTTGAAATTTTTCCAGAGAATGGTATCATACTACTTACGGTTTTGTGCCTTTCTCGAATACATATTTTGCCACAGTCTTTTAATGCACTGAAAACAAGGTTTCTGAAAATTAGAGGGTTGACGATGCAGTTGTGTCTGCGGGTATCATCACTGGTACTAACAGACAGACTCTTGCATTTTTGGGGCAATGAAGCCGATAAAGAAAAGAAAACCAAATACTTGTCATATTATATGTAGATTCCCTATAAGGGAAGAGGGTCTATATTACGAAATTCAAAGCTGTAAGAAGTCGCGAATTTCAAGAAAATTATTTGAATCAGCGCTTATAGCAACTATTAATTGATTGCGTGATACAGTGAAGAGAATGTGAGAATCTCTGTCAAGAATGTACTCAAAATAATCACTATTTCATGTTTTCCTTGATTATTACGCCTTACATACTCTTCGAACACAGAAACTCAAGTTACCAATTATAGTATACCTTACGTAAGTTGTTGTTACGTCTGCAGATAACGCCTCCGGTATTCAAAAGCATAATCTTCAATTATCGCTGGAGTGAAACCGAAAAGTTGAGGAGGAACTATAGCTTGTATTACTCTTAGTCTTCACACGAGCAGGGGTCAATCACTGGCCTTTTTTTCGTCTTATTTCGAGCACTTCGGCAAGAAAATGGCTAAGCCATCCTGCCCTGATAGGGATCGCGCACCGCGAAAATCAGTGCTTAAAAGCGTTGCGAGTGATAATAGTATGTCTCGCATTTTTTGCAAGTTGTTATGAACGTGATTCAATTATAGTCATATCATATATAAATATTTCATAAACAGCTAATCATTGCTTGATGAATTGCATCTATTTTGAGAACTAGTAAAAGGAAGTTAGCTTCACGACTGTTCGATGATGTATCATATTCTCATAATGCCCTTCATGCAATGTTGTGCCAATCTGCCATTTTTTGGTGCCATTATAAGATTGCTTACATAATAGAACGTAAGATTGAACATTTATTTTAGAATGGAGGACGTTCAAAATAGCCCTCTGTTAATTCAGTAAACATAACTATCGGGTGTTCAGATTTAGTCGCAATACGACTAATATCGTAGCCCTTGTCAAGTCGTTAGACATGTCGAGGTTGACAAGGCAAATTGGTCTTGAGATGTTTTCATTTGGGCTTTCAACGAGTTTCCAGAACCAGTCACAGATTCAATTCAAAAAGGCGGTACTGATTCCATTAAGCTTGTTACCTCTCAAAGAGTGAAAAATGGTGAATCTCCAAGTTGGATACACTTTCTGCGAATGATTTTCTGTTTTCCCTAGTTTTTTAGAAACGATCCGCAATGGAGAAAAATCACGCCATCTTCATTCATGTGCCCATGCTCTGATAGGGAGAGGTTGTAGGTCAAAGTATTATTCGCATCTACTTACATGAATTCCAAACAAATTTAAACGCAGTGAACTCGGATTTGCTTCTCTAATTGTGGGATTACCCATTTATTAGGATGATGAGGATGTCTTCACACTATTTAACCCTTTAAAGAGCGATCGGGTATATTTGCAGCCGCCACAAAAAGTAGCAAGTGTGTGTATATTGCATATTCGGCAACGAGATACATTCCCTCATCTATCATTCTTTGTCATGTTATCTCTTGGAAGTGGAAGTACACATATATTCACGAATTATCTCTATGTCTGGAACGTAATCATTGAAGTATTGCTCTAGGTGTACAACACTTCCCAAAATACGTTGATCTACTACAAGTTTTTTATTACTTCCGGTCTCCTTGAGAATGCAGGAGCATCAGTTTAATTTTGTGGTGTCATATATCGTGGTGCCATTTTATTGGGACTGTTGCTTTTCATTGATACATATGTTTATCTAAAGATTTTAAATTTTCTGCTGCGAATATGGTACTTCAACTTCGATTAATTGAAAATAGAGTTTCATCCGCGAATTTTAGTCACTGTTTGCCTTCTCTCACTGAAAGTTCTCTACACTGTTGGTTGTCATGTTAATCACTCCAGTCAGCGGAATAAGGTTTAATCGCTGATCAAAAGCAACCGATACTTTTAAGACGCAGGTTGGTTCAATAAAAGGAGCTCATGTTCCCGACGCTTTGGTTAAGGTAATGTACACTTTTTGTCACCAGCATCGCATCAATGCGCGCTTGTGTTGTACGATTGCAGGCGGGATTGTTATCTCGCACATCGGTTCAGCCAAAAGCAGCCCCGAGTGACTGAGATTTAGTTAGCAGGCTTTCTGAATCTGCTTCCAATCAATAAACTCCACTGACAATCAGGGGTAGCGTAGCCAGCTGCCAGAGTAAACACGCCTTCCACGTCACAGCCTGGATATTTAGTTACACGTGCGAGCCTATTCGGCAGAAACGAGAATGAGAATGGACCATATTTTTGTAGCCTCAGTAGGCTCCATTAAGGCAGATCGAACCGCATGATAGATGTTGCTAAGATATAAAAGACATGGCAGGCTGCTTACACCAAGGAAGGCAAAAATGACGATCCTCATACTAGAATTACGTATGCTTGGGTCGGAGGCGTGTTTTGAAAATATGATGATATATGCTGGGGTGGGGCAACTGATTCATCTGAGTGACCCAGACGAGAGGACGTCGATCGCTACATTTTGTTCTTGTATTTGGAGAAGAACTGGTCCTTGGAATGTGTGTTAGGTTTAACGATTTGGGTGGCCTCATTGATACGCTTGAGGATGTAAACGTTATTTTTTGTGTCAAAGCCTGACAAGTAAGAGGATGTCTATGCTTGAAAGGTTAACTCAACACCGACCTAGTTTTCCCATGTATTCATTACCACCAAGCTATGGAAGACAGGCAGAATGGATGATACATGAAGCTGGAGAAGCTCAGAAGGAAACACTAACTTGATGATTAGTTTTTTGCTGTCATCGTCAGCAATGTCCACGTCGAGATCTTTTTTGATAAATGGTTCTACTCCGAGATTCACGAACAAGAAAGGGAAGAGCAAGGTGACACGCTTCCAGACCTCATAATAATGGCGAACGCCAATCATAGAAACCTTGTACATGATGGTCTTCTGCCCTGGTAAACAGTCATCAGGAAATATATGAGATCGTTTGCTTTCAGCGACATTAGTCAGCCTCTGCCCAACCAATGTCGCTGTTGTTCGGGAGTTCTGCAAATGGTCGCGTCGTCACCGCCTCTACATCAGATTTTCTTCTTTATAGCTTGGAGAGGAGATCGCTGAATTGCAGAGACAGAGTAGCGGGTTTTCGTTATTCAGGACAGTACTCCCTCTCCGTCTCCAGTTGATTGGGGGTTCCGTCCATGAGGAATATACGTAATTCTTCGGGCATTCGTGCGGAAGCTATATCATTTGATCTACTGCAATTACGTAAGGAGGTTCAGAAGTCATTGTGAAAGAAAGTGCAGAGGTCGCGTCAATTAGGATGTGAATGGGAATTGGATAGCTGCTGGAAAGATACAAAAACGAGTAATATTGCAGGATGGCCTATTTAGGTTAACACTGCGCATGTGTTCAAGCTAGCTTTCGCAAAGCCACGTCAGTTGTGTTGAAGAAGTTCAACTTCTCAATTTTCGAACCTGCCTACATTATTTTTATATGGTTAGAAACTACGTGATAAAAGTTGTGCATGGCATGTTAAAGCTTTTATTGTATTCTATGTTGTACTCAATGAATATTACATTTTTTCATTGCCCTAAAAATCATGGGCATCTGATGCCTAGCTCGTGTACAGTTCTGCAAGATTTGTGGGAAGTTAGCACTTTCTTGACACACAATATTTCGGAAGATCGCGTATTGGTTGATATGTGTGTCACGGACTGGAGATATTGATACACGAGTGGCGGTCTTGCACAGATAACCCTTGCTTTACAAACAACCCCTGCACTTTGTTTCGCTGGGAGAACTACTCATATCATAATTGCTTTGTGCATTAGCTTGCTCCGATGACCCGTTACTGCAGCCACTTCTTGCGTCCCTGTTCGACCAAGCTGCTTCGCAAAAAAAGTGATCTTATTGTGTCGCTATGCGGACAATGGTTGGAATTTATAGATTTTTAGAAGACCGTACTAACTCACAGAACTGGTTTTGGTTAAAATCAAGTAATGGGACAACTGCTGGATTGCCTTCGGGATGAGGCTCAGATAAAGGAATAACTCCCACAGCTGAAGAATTGCAATTTTCAAAACCCAAAGAGAGTAATGCTTCTAGAAAACTGATAAGATTTCTTAATGCTTCTAGAAAACTGATAAGATTTCTAAGTCTCGAGGAACTTTGATAGTGACCTAATCACGAAAAAAAACTTGCTAATCTGCGTGGATGATTTTGGAACTGACATATATGTTCACCTATTTAAGACGGCGATGGTTCCCCTTATGATGTGTCTTGAATAAATTATGTAGACCAAGGCAGTGAAAAGTAATGTATTCGCTCCATGCATAATTTTTTCCCCGCGTTAAATCCCTCCGTATTTCGTTTACATGGATGTTGATCTTTCGTGATCACGTGCGTGTGACGTGCATACTATTTCACCACGTTAGCTACCCCTCGCCCACATTGCATTTGCAGGCCACAATGCCGCACACTTACCACTGTGACAGTGTACCTGTACCCCTGCCTAGTTTTGCTTCACGATTTCGGCTTGAAAGCAAAGGAAGTCCACTCCAAGCTAGTGGAAACATACAGCTAGGACGCCATGCAAGGCTTGGTTCGCCAAACCGAAGAAAGGCGACTTTTCTCTCGATTTTCTCTCGAAGATGCGCCGAGGTCGAGTCGGCCGATGGAGTATAACGTTCCACCCTGGAGTAGGACCCGTACCTAATACCCGTACACCAGGTGGATGGCAACCATACTCAGCTATAATCAATGGACGATTGTACGTGTACTGGAACAGCTCGGCAAGCTAGCAAAGCTTGGCCGATGGGTTCCTCATGAACTGTAGGCTTATGGCCTCTCAAGGAGGGTGGCCACCTGCACTTCTCCCTCCATTTTCTGAAGGAAGCCCCACTTTCTCAAATCCATGATTACTGGTGATAAGAAGTGGGCCCTCCACAATAACCCTGTAAGGAAGCGACAGTGGGTCGACAAAGGAGAACAGCCAGAAGCCATCCGAACTGATGACCTTCACCTCAAGAAGGGTCCCCTGTTCTATTGGTGATCCAGAAAAGGCATTGAGCGCTGGAAACGGCTGAAGAAGTGACAGACGATTGACGCTTCCACATACGTTGCTCAGCTGCTCAAATTGAAGGAGCCCTCCGACCGTACTCGTGGATCGTATGCGGAAATCTACTTCCACAATAACAACGCCCGTCCTCCACCGCAAAGGCGATCCAGGAAGAGCTGGAAGTATGGATGGCTGATTGTTGCCCAGCCGCTCACAGCCCTGACCTCATTCCTTCCGAATGCTGGCTGTTCAGCTACATGCAGCGGTTTCTGGACGGAAACCAGTTTGAAACAGAAGATGATGTTAGAAACTGACGAACTCTTCAAGTTCCAGCTCCTGCCCCTCCAAGAGGAAAGAATCGACAAGCTGCCTGAGCGTTGGCGTTGAGAAGTGAATGATGGTGTATATCTTCAATCTTCAGGTTCGTTCGCTATTGAGACCTTTACAAAAGTCAGTAGAAAAAACTCATGCACCAACCTAATATAATGTTGAAAAAAAAAAGACTTGCAGCAGTCCAGACATACCTTCAAGTACTATCTTTCTTAATTGAACGAGCTCCCTAATCAACGGTTTGATCTTTGATCTAGGACACGTTCCCATCTTTCGGAAATCTTTTCGGCTGATCTCCGGAATTCCGACAAAAATAATCGATCGAATTCATTGTCGAGTTAACGGCAATCATGTACATTTTTCATTCATACGCTGTTACAGTGCTCCAATTAGTGAATAAACAGAAGGCGCTATATCCGGTGAATATGCGGAGTGTGGCAATGTTTCCTATTTGGAGTCGTCACATTCTCCGCAGCCCCGTCAACTCTATCTCCCTCCCTCTCCCATCTCTTCCCGTTTCTCCAGTCAATAATGTCGTCAATAGTTTGTCTCATACTATTAATGTTCCCTTTAGCTGGATCTGGCTCACAGTAGACAGGAGCTTGAGAGATAGTCTGCTCCGCTAGCATTAAACAGCGTGGCATTTTTCGCAAAGCTTCTCCGCGTCTACTTTCGAAATCCGTCAGGAACATCGTACAGCAACCAAGCGCCAAACCATTCAAGAAGGTTCCCAAAGTGCTTCTTTGGTGCAGAATCAAGCTGTCAGCTCGAAAAAAGAGAAAAGATAGCTCTGAGGACAATACTGCTATCTTACTATATATAATTCGCTGAGCGTGTCTGCTCGTTTGTCGGTGTGTTTGTGTGTGCGTCGGTGTGTGCGTTTTACCGAAAATCCATAAATTCCGTTGCCGTGGACCCAGAGCGTTCAAAATTGGTAGGAGTACAAGCAGCAGGACAGGAACACGAACAGGAATCATGGCAGGTAGCAGGGAAAGACCCCGCCTACAGGGGACAGGGTGTGCGTGATATAAATTTTCGACAACAAGTTCATAATTCCCGTTTGCGTGGATTTAGAGCTTTGAAACTTAGTGGGATACTTGAAGGAGCTGGTAAAGCTAACCTAAAAAGAGAGAGCCGCATGGTCCGTTACCTCTCGTGTTAACAGTGAAGCCTTGACACTCTGGTAAGTTGTTTGGAGTAAGAACGGATCGTAGATATTCAGTGATAGGAATTAAAAATTAGATATTCAATGATGGAAATTAATAACAACTGTTAGAGAGTGATAACAAGCCATAGAAGGCGAGAGCCATTAAGTCTACAAGTTCTTTCGTTTTGACAGTGCAGCACTTCAGTAGGCGGTCTGAGATGTGAAGGGACCGAAGATGATTGGTGATAAGGACTGATAACAAGTGGGCAAGGTCCGGCAAAGAGCCTAGAAGGTTAAACTAGGTTTGTAACCCCTTCGCGTCTACAGTAGAGCCTTGGCGTTTTAATAAGAATGTAAAGGGGATGATGTAGGATGTAAAGGGGTCGTAGGCTCTCTATGACAGGAATTGGTAACGACTCTTAAGAGCTGGGGCTTCAGAAAGCAAGATCAACCTACCAATCAAATCTTAACGGCTTTGCTATTACCGATCAAACATTGATTCTTTGATATGTTTAATTCAATAAGACGGGATAATGCAGTGGTTGCGATCGATCAGAGACATTTCCTCAAGACAAGATGAAAACTTGATTCATTTCTTGCTAATGGACTACGACCGCTACCCAGCAAAGTTTGTGGCTCGTTGAAGTATCAGGGTTTCTTTTTGTTTCGATGTCATTTGTAACAGAATTTATCCAGCCGCCAAAAATCAGAGTTTTCCAATTAATGATAAACCCGTAGAGAAGAAGATCCATTGATAACGACATCTGATAATGGGAGTTATTATCATTCGACAACATCTGTGAGTACCACTCATAGCTTAGTTTGCCTAGCAGTTGAGTCTTCCATAGGTGATCACTTCTAAGATGAACAGATAGCGACTTTTGATTATGGGCGTGATGAGCATCGGCATGTACTGAATACCTTTTCACGGCCCTGTGTCAAACCTCGTAAGGGCGATCAGACTGGCTCTTGATAATGCCCAACCTATAGCAGACCTGATTAATGGGTTTGCCTCTAGGGTTTGCGCATCACTGAAAAGGTGTCACGGAATGTTCTTTCGTAGCCGACTCTTTGACTTTCTCTTAAATTATTTAATTCACTTGCCTGTCTGCTCCGATGTTGCAAAGAATTCTTGGACTCAAAGACTATGTTGAGCGCAATAAACAAATGCTTTGATATTAGCAAATAGCAGCTCAACCTCTTAAGGCGAAATTTTCACGCAATTATGCAAGTGTAAAAGCACTTCACAATGTTTTGCAGTAGTAGATCGGCTTAAGCGGTAATATTTGTTAAAATAACTTTCCGTTCCAGTAAGCTTCAGCCGGGAGACAGAGATAGGCGTCTATCAATTGAGGTGTGGGACTGGGATCGGACGTCAAGAAACGACTTCATGGGAAGCTTGTCGTTTGGAATCTCAGAACTGCTCGTCGAGTCGGCTTCCGGATGGTTCAAACTTCTTAGCGCGGTTTGTCACTTTTTATTAGTGAATCATTATAAAATCTGGCTTATGGGAACATGCGATAGAGAACAATTTTTATGTTATGCTGTATTAAACTGTTTTGGTCACTACTCAGCGAAACTGTCAATCCTTCGAATGTTACAAAAGCACTCCAAATCTATGAAGAACTAGGATATCAAATTTTGCGGAACTGTGGGAAGGTTTTTGTTCAATCTTGTGGAAAACTGGCATTTTATGAGATACAGGTCTGTGAGCATTTCGTTTCTTGACTGTGACCTCAGGGCTAGCCAGAAATGTGCTCGTGCCTACATTCCCCGAACAATAAAGCATTGAATGATAGAACTGATTTATTCTATGCTTCTATGAGCAAAGAGAACCAACGCTGTGAAATCGAGCAGACAAAGGCCTGGCATTTGACTAACAACCCCGCAGATTCCGTTGATACGGAGCATTAGAGGCGGTCGGTCTACGTGACATTCAAACTCGGGCGTTTGGCATTGGGAGCGATGACACGCGTTGAAAAGTTAAATAGCAAGCTAGCGAGCTGCCTGATATTGGCGTGCTTCATCTTCTTGCTTTCCTTCCTTCGCACTTTAAAAGGTTGTGCTCTGTGCATAGCCTATCGATCCAAGTTGAGTCCATATATGTTGTTAAGACAGTGACTGAATTCAGGTACAGGTGGAGGCAGAGAGGTATGAAGTACTTTCCATAAAAGGAGGTATAACGAGGATCAAAGTTTTTTTCAGATTAGTGAGCTCAATATTATTCAGGTTCGATGACTCACTTCTCTTCATGACCCTCTGAATTATTAGGTCGGATAACTGACGTCAGCGCTATTCTGAATAGGGGCTGAGTTTGAGGCCGCACATGGAACAGGGTCTACCAACGACATGAGTTCTATACCTTTGCGGAACTCAGGATAGTAATATTGCAATTTTTGAGTGTCGATAAGTGCTTTGAATACGGTAGCTCGTTAGATGTTAGATGTAATGGAAGGAGTTTTTGTATTCAACAAATTGGGGACGATGCAGTTCATATGTGGACTGCACTTTTTCGGCCATGTGGGACCGTGTAGTCCCCATGTGGACTACAGTTGTATTTTTTGTTTTATTCATCTATATTTCCTTTTTTTACAATTCTTTTCCCCAAAACTTTACATCAGGCCTAAATGAAACTACATACAGCGTGGTTCTGGAAAACCTTCTGATTTTGCAATTGCAAAGGTGTTTCTTCGAAGGAGTACATTACCTTGGTGAATTCTTCGTTCGTTAAACAACTTCAAAAAATGAGACTTTGAAAAGACGGTCGCTATCTGCGTTTTCGCTGTTATCGACCGAATGCAAAGCTCATGAAAGTTCCCAAAACGATATCTGGTAATGATTGAACTCATTGAATGACCACCAGACTGAGTGCCGGTTCTATAATAAAGGTCAATAATCACTCATTGTGGGCATTCTTATCAGACCCATTTGAAGGAGCATTCCGAAAAACTTGTGATCTCTCTTATAAACTTCGAAAATGGTCATGCTGGACCATAATCCACATGTGGGCTTCAGTCGCGAGTGGATGGCGAGCACGCCGGTCCCTCTCGGCGCTTCCTCCGCCAAACGTGGTGGTCGTCAATGGGTTAATGTTGCGCGGGATCCACAGCTCATTCAAGCTTATCAAGGACTGAATGCCTCAGAAATTGAGTGCAGTCATCTTGGTGACCGGGACTGAGGTACTGCAATTTAACCGTGATTTGTTCTTCCTAAAGGTTCGGCTCTGAACTTGTTTTAACAATTCACGCGTCTACTCTGAACTACTTGTATACTATTTCAGGAGGAAGGCGAATACTACAACATCAATATCCCTCCTGAGTATGAAGAGGAACTGGAAAAAGCACGCAGACGCATAGAGGATTTGAAGGTATAGTAGCATTAGAAGTTATCCATGAAAATATGCTGAATTCATATGGTGACAATGATTCCAGAGTTTTAGAGGTGAAGCTCAAAGAACCGCTATTATTAAAGTCAAAGGTTGTCTTTAGCTTTGTTTCAAAGGAAGGCCTCTGCAAACCGCTGTGATTTAGCGACTGGTCCTTCTCTTTTCTGCAAAAAAGCAAAATGTATGTTGTATGAAACAGTAACACTCATGGCATAGCACGTTTTTTACGATAACATTTAAAGTTATTTCATATAGGTCGAAATAAGTGATCGAAATGATTTCTAACCTTCTGGGCGTGCCTGCGACGACCGCTCAGCACTTGTTAAGGTGGACCTTAGTGGCTAATTTCCTGGGGAATATGCAAACAATGAGTAGTTTCAGCTTGGGGTTGTGCAAAGAATGATGAATTATTTCAGAAATAAGAGGCACGTAGATGTCTTTCATAGTTACGCCTGCTAGGAATGACTCTGTGGTTTAGGTGTAAAAGCCATCGTCTTTGACTACTCGATGGCTGGAGAAAGTTGCATTTTTTCCATTTATGAAGGTCGAAGTTTCTCCATTACTGCCGAACATCATTCATAAGTGGAGTTCAGAAGGTACCACGAAGTACAGCGAATTTTTGAAGTGGTCCGTGTTATCAACTTCGCAATACTGTTCCCCTAATCATCCTGATGGGGGAACAGCCATAGTTATGAGGGAAAGTTACTTTTCCTCACGTATTGTTCTCACTTTAAGAATCACTTCAAAGCTGTGAAGCCCAATTGCCATGAGGCGTGGGTGCCTATCCGAAATCCTAGCCATGTACTTGGTTTTTTTTACATTAAACCGGATTCAGAACATTGCCAAACGGGCGGACCACGCTTTCACCTGTTGACTCAACTATATTTCCGTCTTTACGCACGGGCAATACATCTCGCCATGAAGAAGCATTTGAGTTGCTGATTCCGCAGATCTTGTGCAATTTTGTCTATGACGACCACGAATAGTGGGTACAGCGCTGAGCTCCAATAATCCAGATGGAGATGAGAAATTTCTTTTTCTGTTTCTTTGATTTTTAGGTACCTGCTGCTGCCTTGACCCTACACGCTGGAATCGAGTAGATTATGCGCGCTCCCTCAATGTTTTCTTCAAGTCCCTGCGCCGTTGTAAGGCATACCATACAATTTCGCGCGCAATCGAAGGGTTCCCTTAGCTTTAGGGACGCCCTGTTTCTAGCGATGTCTACCTAGCACTTGACAAGCTGCATGTATAGTTTTTGTGGTGCTGCAACTGACGACAAAACTACACTAATTGGTGGAGAGGTGGTCGAGCTCTTGAATACTGCCGTTTACATTCGGCTCGAAGTTCTTCTTGCTGTGCGAAAGCAGCCAAATTGAGCTGTAGTTCGTGCAATCCGCAAAGATGCCCCTCTTCTTTCATATTAAAACGGTGAAACTCTGTTGCAAGCCTTAGACACCTTTTACCACGATCTTCAAGACCTTCGTTAGCCGTACTGCCGGAATACCAGCACTACGACTTCCGCACATGTACTGCCAAGTCATCTAGACCAGTTGCCTTGCCGGACACCATCTCTCGAAAGCAAGTTCCGTTTCCTCCATTGTTACCTTTTGTACTGGTCCGTGCACTGGCAGACCGCGAGGTGGAGGCAGATAGACTGTTGGGATACTCTCAATGTTCTTTGATTCTGATGTGACAAGTGTGTTCATAGGTCGGCCTATCGCCTGCATTCGAGAGTACGCGATCAGAGAAACCGTTCACACTGGCACTCCGTGGAGGCGCAGGTAAAGCCACTCTGCCTCGAATGGGAGAAATGTCAACTATCTGTCGTACCTGTTGTTTCCTCGGCCGCAGTACAATAATAAGCAGACGACATGAGGGGAATGTATGCACGGTGGATGGCGCAGTTCAGCTACTCGTTCAAATTGCTGATCATGGGGTGGACATCAAATATACAAGGAGTGGAATCATATTGGTGAAGATCGCCGAAAACTGATCCGCACACCGAGTCGTACTTTATATTAAAGGAGGATTCCTTCAATTCGCGATTGAAATACGACTCGATGTACGGACCAATCTAAAGAAAGTGTGGAAGGCGATCGACTGCGACGTTGGATTCGTCGTGGTTGCAGAGGATGACGCAGCTTTAAATGCCAAAAATGCAAGTGATGTGGAATGGACGACATTCGGAGAGCGTTCACGATTCTGGGTAGGTGTCAATGAGGCCGTGGTAGTAGTTGGTTGATGTGTCGCTTCCAGGCGACTTTTCAAACTGGAACCTCGTAAATGTCCGGCCAAGGCATGTTTGAATGCGTCCGAGTACCGTTCAGGCAGTCTAGAGAAGAATTCACGTATATACACGAGGTCGTTGATCTCGTACTCCTTCGACTTGAACACGTGCGGTCGGTTAAACTGTTGTATCAGAGCTCATTATTACGTTAAACTTGCCGAGACCAAGCGTAGCGCCAGCACGCAAACGTACCAGTGGTCTCTGAGCGCTCCGCTTGGTCTCAACGAGCTCAAGCTGTTTCAAAGGTGTCATCCAATAAAGTTTTAGCTTTCTCATTCGACGGTACAACGCTGACCGGTTCCTTTCTGTCGACAATACCCCTAAACCTACTTGAGAAATAGCTAAGTTCTTTTGTCTGAGGCAATGACAGGGAGATGCCTGAAATGAGCGAAGTGGCGGCGTGGTTCCTCCAACATAGCGGAAGGATGTTCAGAGGCAATGCCTCCGGGATACTTACAGAAAGCATCGGCGAGCATCAGATAGGAGCTTTTGTCGAGGAGGGCGAGCATAGCCATGTATACCAGGCTCCATGGAATACATCGAGGAGGCATAAAGAAGATCGGGGTCTTGTCCGGAGACTTGGCACGTTCCTTAGAAATGACACAATTTTCTCCAATTCTTCGTTAATCCTGATCTAGAAGAGGAGTCGCGAGTCGTGGCATTCATCGGTTTCATTTATGATTATCCTTGATGTAGAATTCTGAAACAGATGGCTGACTCTTCGAAGAAATTACTATGTATTTACCCTTCAAATGTTAAGCATCATGGAATACTAACGAATACGAAAGCGAGGAGCTTCAACGGACCGACACTGGTAGACGGTTGGCTTCTGCAAAGTCGCCGGCGGTCTTCTGCAGACGTGATCTCCCGAGCGCCACATCCAGCTCAACAGGGAGGTAATAGTGGAGCCGGCACTGGTGTCTAACTGAAAAGAGTGGGATGTCCGTCGATGAGCGGACCCTGCGACGGCGCGGGATTAACGCTAGGGAGAAGAAGAGAAGAAGAAGTCCGTCGATACCGGCGCCCGAAGGTACCTGTCAACGGAAATGCCACCCGCTTGATCTTGATGACCCGTTAATACCAAGAAGCGATGACGTCTGCTTGCGCTGACGCCGCAGTACAGACTCCGGCTCCTGAGTGGCCCTGATATCGAGACAAATTCCTGAGTAGTACTTCTTTCGAGGTGTCTGCTGCCAAAATGTCCCGACTATACTTTGCTCTGCAGTGGCCGCCCCTTCTTCTGCCAACAGATTCCTTCTGCGATTTCTGTGCCGTCCTCGACTGATTTCTAAGCGTAATTCTTATCTACGTCCTACGTCTTACGTCAATTTTGATCTTTTGTCCTCGTCTTTTTTTACGTAGGATTGGAACACATTGAAGTCGAATGGAATATAATTAGAATTGCAATATGTTTGAAAGCCAACATAAGTTCAGAGGCTTCCAACACGCTGACAAAGTGGTCGACGTCTTCGACTTTCTCTCGATGGCAATCAAATGGCGGCAAAAGAGCGCTCAAATTTCAGCGACCTCTGCACACAGGGATGTGATCAGCGAGTCGTGTATGAGTTGCAGATCAAGAGTTAAGCGTTTCTTCCTCAGGCCTTCTCATTCGAGCAATGGGGCATAGTTATGTCGATCGCCCCATAATCCGAGACAGTCGTCCTGATCGCAACAGGTTTCTTCAATTCTCCTCGGCATCGGTTCGAAGATGAAGTACAGCGCAGTTGTAGCCATATTTTGCGCTAGGTTTTGCCAAGCAGCCATGAGTTGCAACTTCTGCTCCTTCTGCAAGTCTTTTCCTAGCAAATTTACAACCTGTTTTTGAATTCGCTCTCCTGAACACCAGTTGTTGAGTCTTTGAGAAGAAGTTAGCATTCCAGTACGCATTAGAATTCAATGAATGCACACAAAGTGGTAGCGTTTATATACCCTCTTGGTACTTCAGATTTGTGGCAATGAAGTGGACATCAGAGCGATAGATTAATAAAAAAGGAGCAAATGTACAATGCACAGAAATCCCATGTATGCCCCAACAAAACCCATTCGAAAACAACTGGGTATTATTCGGTATCGGATTTGGTCAACCAATATTATCGTATTGGAGTTCCCCAGTACCTTCTCTATTCACTCGAACTTCGAACGCTCTTAAGTCGAGGCGAGCCGGTTTGGGAATACCAGCTCACCATCGATAGATTTTGATCGCTGTAGCTAATCATCATCTGTCACGTCTTCTCGATGTGAGTCCGACCTCCACTTCGAAATGACCACAGTTACAAATGGCCGATCCCAACAGATCGGTAATTCAATCTTAAACTGCTCATCGATGTTCCCTGTGTGGGTATCCATGCATGCGTTTACAGAGCGGTGGATAATCATGTCGGGAGCTAAAAGCTCGCATCCTAGTAAATTTATAGCACATGCAAGCCGCAGATGCCGCCAATAGGAGACCTCTTGTCCATATTAAGCGAGTGTAGCTATCAATAAAGATTACACTCTTCGAGTTAGATCCTGGTATGTTACTTTTTGACTCTTAATATTCATAAACTAATAATGAGTACAGTAGGAGAAGTACATATACTTAAAATGTTCTCCTCAATCAACCGATGAAATTTTAATTTAATTTATTATTATTAATTATTTCAATTTTATTTTTAATTTCATCTATATCATATGACGGGAATATAGACCAGGTTATAAAGGCTCTAATAAACTGTAGTGTGTCAGCTAGTGGAGTGACTGTAAGTGTACTGTAATAGCTCTGATAAACGCAGTAGGGCTAAAATAGAAAGCGCTCAAAAGTATCTTCTTCGACCAACTGCTACGGAAAGCTCGAGGCAAAGGATGCACAGCAGTGTTAGAGACCACATTGCTCGACCACAGCGACTGCTGACAAATAGACTGCTGGCAATCATGAGTGGCGATTCGACGTCAGAAACATTGGAGTGTTTACAAAAGCCTGCTTTAGGACACGAATGGATCAGGTCAGGGAACAGAATATTTGAATTATCGTTCAGAAAGCCTCATCCATATGAATGTTGTAGCATTGCCTGCGAAAGTATGGACACGTCTAAAAAGGGTACGAAGTCTCTGGCGGAAGATTGTATGTAGGAAATGGTGAACAGTAAAACTGGATTGACGCTTAGGGGAAGGAAATGAAGTAGAGAAAACGATCGAGGGGTAGTATAAAGGAAATTTATGCTCCGTGTGTTTCGACCACTTTCACATAGCCTTATGGAAAACAGTGACTGGCGTAAATAGCATGCAAAACAGTAGGCGTGAGCAAAATTTCGAAAATCATGACTACCACGTAAAAGGGCTTATATTTCCATGCTAGGTTAGAGGATTGGTCAACAGTGAGATAGGGCCAAGCGGTCATTGAAGCTCTCATCAAAATTGACAGAATTAGACTAAAACTACTAGTTCAGATCGATTAGGAAGATCATGACAGATCACTTTTGCTAGCTGAGGATCATGATTGTACTTTTGCTGTGACGCACGCAGTAGAGTGCAACTTTCCGACTTTCGGATTATAGAGCTCAATTCGAACGAGTTCCTCACAGCACTGGCCTCCAGTACTTTTGCTGTTCAACATGTCCGTGGAGAATAGCGGATGTTTGCATTCTATTATATAAGCAGCTATTCTACGTACCATGACTCGTTGAGATGTGATTCAACAATTGCAGACCAGTTGCCAAACGAACGTACCTGGATTTGATGGGGTGATTTCTTTTTGATTCAGGGGACCAAAGATCATTCATCAGATCAAACGGACTTTCGAGATTCAGCGCAGTTAGCAGCAAGCACTCTACCACAAAACAATGTTATAAAGGCATCTGATTTCAAATTCATCACCATGCTCGGAAAAGGATCCTTTGGGAAGGTATGTGTCGATATGTTATATAACAAGGTATCTTTTCTCTCATTCGTCAAGACACCGTGACGACTTTCTTTAATCTGAAGACGGATGAGAAACGACCCGATAATTGTTCGTTCAGCTTTATGGGATCCTAAGTTAGGTTTTTTGCCGGTTTCATTCACCTTACAACGGATCCGCTAAGTCACTACCAAACGTATTATACTCACAATGATGTCGATACTATTTCATCAAACCTAATGAAGAGAGCACTATTCCTCTATGACGTTGATTTCAATGAAAAACACTGCGAGTTGGGCATCTACTTAATGATTGTGGCGGAGAGCTATTCTCTGGGATCAAAACTTCTGAATCCGCGATAAAGCCGTTCTCTGTAGTCTATCTGTATTCAATTTTCGATTACCCTTCCGTTCCATAAAAAAGAAAGGACTCCTTAAATTTTCAACGACAATAGTGTGATCACTTCCCGACAGCGAAGCTGGTCAAAACTAAATAAATTGGATATTTCCCACAGAGCGGTGTCTTACAAGGGGAGGATACTCGGTCGCAGCGGCCATTCAAGATGAGATATACATGTACCCCCGTAGGTGGTTTCGAACGCTGATCTCAAATCTGTGTTCAAATCTGCTAAACGTTTCTGGGAACAAAGGTACGGGACCGATGCCTACCTGTATTATACCACAGCAACGAACGGATCACCGAGCCAAACAAAGCCGTAACTGTGCAACGGTGGCGCAGTTTATCGGCCGGTGGAGTGGTAGGCATGACACCGATGTTCGATTCCTTGATGCATGTGCCGTTTAACTTTTCCATGAAGTGCGCCCTAAACGCTTGCAAAAAGTTTTAAACATCTGCTCAAAACAGGCTCATTTCACCAGCGAATCTTCTGACCCAAGGTGGTGTCATTGTGCTTGATGGAGGATTTTCGTTTTTGAGGCATAGCGTGAGCACCATCTAGGAAGAGGCGGTAATAAAGAGCTTTCGAACCGTCTCCTCGGTGCTGTGAAGACGAGCTCGTTATCCTTTGTGAGGAAGCCGAGTCCGTGAAAAACGATCACAATGATCTTCTGCGGTCGCCTGATGATGACAGCGATGATGAACCCGTAACTTCGCGAAAGACAGCTCGTGTCTTTTGAAGGGTATAGAGGTTCCGAAGTGAAACGTAGCTTTCAGTTCCGCGATGTGGCCCATGAGCTCCAATTTTATTATGCTGATAGAAGAGTCCATAGCTTCTATAGTAGGCCGAATTTCAAAAAACGCCGCGCCTCCTCGACCATGAGAAACACGCCTTGTATTATTACGACAGTGTGCCAATCAAGAGAGCATGGCTTAGTGCAGCCTCACCGCATCACCACGTTTACCTCATGAAAGGGCCTCTTGGAACAGCATTCATCTCAAGAATAGAACTAGCGGATAATCATATGTGCACACAAAGCGATAAGCTATTGTTCTTTTTCTTCAACAACGCCAGTTAACGTGTACCAAAGCTTCGAAAGCGCGGACAACATGCCTAGAATGTGTGTACCGTAATCCTCACAGAGAGGGCTGTGGCCGGATGAGTCATTCGGCCGCTGTACACCGTGACTGATGCGGGGAGCTGCCAAAGATTTCGAAACCTTATCTTGGCTGATTGGGGTAGGGAGGCGTACATGTATATTCGGTCAGTAGCGGTAATTTTTTTATCGAATTATTGATCCTAAATTGTGAGAGAGCTACGTAGATGCCCAATCTTAAGCCCAAATAGCGTTTTGCAAGCGTTTAGGGCGCAATCCATAAAAAAGCAAAACAAGCACATGCATCAAGGAACCGAACCTTGATGTCATGCCTACCAGTCCACCGACCGATCAACTGCGCCACCTTTGCACAGTTACGGCTTTGTTCGGCCCGGTGATCCGTTCGTTACTGTGGTATAACACAGGCAGGCATCGGACCCGTGACTTTGCTATCAGAATCGTTCAGCAAACTTGGAACACAGATTTGAGGCCAGCGTTCGAAACCACCTATGGGGGTATACATCTTATACTTATGGCCACTGCGACCAAGTGTCCTTCCCTTGTCAGCCATAAAGTGTTAGGGCTGCCGAAAGAGAAGAGCTTGTGCTCAACTTGCTCTTTGACTTGGTAGTGCACGACACCTGTCAGAAAAGTGAAAGGTTCCTATGCGCTGTTTTTATGAACCGTTCAAATGAACTCACATAAAACTGAAATTCAATATGTTACAAATCAAGATACTCTTCGCACACGGTATTATCCAGAAAAAAAACGTTTGAAAAATGGCCGACACTTGCTCTCTGTTTCAAGAAGTTGGGATCGTCAACAGATTTACAGTGTACCCACAGAACATCTATCCCAAGGAAATGATTAGAAAGGTCAACTGACTAGCCTCATCCTACGAAGCTTGTTGCACTATAAATACATAGTCCAGGTGCACAGTAATGCTTCAGGAAGCATCATAGTGAACGAAATCAGTATGCAATGATGAAGAAGAGTTCCCATGTAGGGATACATGTACACACTACACATACACTGCACTACACATACAGTTCTGAATACATTTTATAAAAAAAAGAAGAGCAGTAGCGGGTTTGACCACTGACTTGACAGGTTTGCCAAGTTCTTGTCGAGTGCATATCATTCTGTGAACAACATTTCTTGTAAGATTTCTTGTATAGACGATTGCTCTTCCGAGTACCAATGTAATAATTCAAGGCTATCCATCGAAGGTGTTTGGCGGCCTCAGCGATCCTACTTACAATAAATCGCTTCGTCTGGCGTTCTGTTGCTCTGTCGTTATGTATGTTTGTCATGTATGTCTGTCTCGGAATTCCTTATATACTTTAGATTCGCCTGGAGAGAATGAGTCAGGCGTAGGATGGGTGAGACATGTCCCGAGAAGTATAAAACACACATCAGCTTGGCGGAGCCCCTCCCACAGTGGGCGTGGCGTGCATCGGAATGAGCTCTACTGAGGACCGTGGTTTCAAATTCAACACCAAGGCGGCTTGAAAATTGGGGTTGAAAGGAGAGTGGAGGTGTGCATTGGTAAGTTAGATCAACACGGTGAGTGGCAGGACCGGACGCCGCCCACGGGAGCGGGGTGTGCGCGAAATAAAAGTCTGAGCGCATAGTCAAAAATCCTGTGCCCATGGACCTAAAGCCTTCAAATTTGGTAGGAGTACAGGAGGCAGGATTGGAACACTTATGGTGGGTCGCAAGACCAGACTCGACTGACATGAGGCGCAGTTTGTACGGAAAATTGAACTGGATTTAAAGCACTCACATTCGTTATAAACAAGGCGGCAGGATGGGAGTACCTATGTAGGGCGGCAAGACTTAACTCCGCTCACAGGAGGCGAGGCGTGGGTGGAAAAATGTTAATTCAAACTTTAAGCGAGATTTCGGAGCTAATGTCAAAAGGTCTGAAATTAACCGAGTTACTCAAACACACAGAACCTAAGGAGGTTTGTTCATGGCGGACAGGGCGCGCACGAATTGTGTTGGGTGTTTGTGGTTGGCCGGGATGAACGACTCCTGTTCCCATCTAAAGAAGCCTCCAAACTGGAAAAAGTGCATGCGCGGAGGCCATTTTAGCACGAGAAGAAGGGGAGCCCGGCGCGCCGACAGATAGGTTTAGTACAAATATATAGTATGGTTGGTGGTGCCGAGCATGGAGCTGGAGCCCAGTCGCGTAAGGGACTAATTGTACGCCATGGTAGGGTTAATGAAGAAATATGTCGATGGCGGTGCTCTCACAGCTAAGCATTCAGAACCTGCTCACTTGCTAAACGCCTCCTGTTGCACAAACACAAAACCAGGTGGACTATACAAAAGCAAAGGTTTTGTCTTTGCTTCGCTTCTGCTCTCTTGACATTAAACAACGAGATGTGGAAAGTACTTTGCTTCATTGTTCAATCTCGGTCAGGTCATCAAATTTAATAGCTTATTCAACAGACATTCTGATTGACATTATTGCAAAGAATGTGCCTCTACACAAAAGTTAGCATTGAACAGTGCAGTTCATTGAGGAGGAAAGGGAGAAGAGACTGGGCTTTCCGAGGATTGGAAATGGAAACGCATCGCATGAATCGCCCATTCCCATCCATCTCCCCCCCCCCCTTCCTGGTCCCCTTC